ACAGCAAAAAAATCCAGAAAATTAAACTTAAAAAAACGTTTTCTAAATTTTGTATAATGGCATATGACTGACACGCACACTTAAAAATTTGCGCTGAATAATTCAGTGAAATACGGTACTTTCGGAGTTATTCGCATGCAAATGAAACACTGTATAACGGAAATCAGGCCTTCGATTCGGGAAATACTGTAACAGCTCCGACGCAATTCACACAATAACTGCAGTCACTTTAGTCAACCTTGCTTTCCTCAGAAGTGGAAGAGCCGACGAGGGGAGTGGGGGAGGAGAGGGGGGGGGGGAGTGGAATGCATGTCACGAACTCAATTCAGCTGCAGCACAGAGGAAAACAGTATACGGTAGAGCAGAGTACAGCAGTATATATGAAGACAACTTGCTGTGGTGACATCCTCGTTGTCGTCGTCGTCGTCGTCGTCGTCGTCGCTCGCGTTCGTTCGTGCTGACTCACGTCCAACGACGAGACCATCACACATATCGTCACTGTGTCTCATCATCATCATCATGGGGCACTGTACAGTCCTCGCCCTGTCCTTCGTCCTTCCCCTGCCCCCCTCAGGGAAAACCGGAATTCTGCAGTCAGCAGAAAACAAGGCCAGCTCTCTCTCGCTCTCTCGTAATGTTTTATGTCACAGTCTTTCAAGACATGTCATATCCTGCTTTAATTTATGCATCCTTGCCGTGCAAAGCTTGCTTTATGTTTCTGTAATGCTCAGAAACATAAAGCAAGCTTTGCACATTCCTCGCCCCAGCACGCACATCACCCATGAAATGACAAATAATTAGAGCATGAATGTGACTTTCCGCCCGACAGGAAGAAATTGCCGATTATTGGGAGAAGAGGATTCGCTCTTTATTCGCACCAGCGCACAGCAGTGCCCTATACACTGTGCACGAAAGAATTGACTATAGGGTATTCAATAAATGATGGGAGGGGATTGCCCTAATTAATGAAGTGCCAGGCGAACCTTTTTTTCAAAATTTAGCGGAAAGAAGGGGGTGTGCATCGTATAGTCGTAGATACAAATTCATATGGAATTTTAGATTGAAAAAAAAAAACCTAGTGCACGTCTTACTATACTGCATACGATAATTCGACTAATAACCCTTGTGCTGATGATGAGAGACTGGAGGAAAACAACTGGGGTGGAACTTTGTTTTTTAAATTTTCCTTGCAGTGGCTGAATTCAAGATCTTATAAAAAGAATTTCAAAGGTATTGCATGAGCAGAAGAAATTTTTTAAAATTATTCTTTCGTGGCTTTCATTTTGCACTCTAAAGACAATTATAGTTAGGTGGTCAATCAAGGAAAAGTTGGACCACAAAAAATTCAAGAAAACCCTCTTTTACCACTCACCCAGATGATTCTGTCCAACTTTGCCTCATCCAACTTGGCTCAGGTTTTGTGACCTCCAGAGAAATGAAAATGTGGCAGCATATAGAAAAAGTCCAACCTTGCCACTCAATGGGAAATCAACCATTGCTGCAGAAGGATCAAGAATAGTGAAATGCGCATGCTCAGGATAATTTTGAGAATCATATTTCTGGGTCCACATGTGATTGGTAATACTGTAATACCATGGAACCTCTCTATGTGGAATTTAAAGGAACCAACCAACATGTGTGACTTGAGGAGGTTTCAAGTTAAATAAACAAACACTTCTGTTGTGCAAAACATAAAACAAATGCAGGATATTTATTGTAAATAATATTCTGAGCTTTACATTACTGCACTACTTATATGGGTTGACAATTGACTGAACTCGGAGGGAAAATTTGACTCCGAGGCATGTCACTTAGGGAGGTTTGACTTTTTGAAGTTCAACTTTTCCTATTTGAATGTCTTTGACAGGAAAGAGCATCTCCAAAACTGTATTGGATAGTCTAAAAAATTAAAAATCCCTCCACCCAATCTTGAAATGAATTGCTTTCATTGAAAGGTTAACACAAAACTGCAAAAAGAAAACAGTTCCACCCTTTTACTTGACCCAGTGTGCAGCAATTTATATTCTGTTCTGTAAAATAAATTCAATTGCAGTAAAAACAGTTTGATTGAGCCTCAGATTAGTTAGTGTGACTTTCTATTTTTCAAACAAATTCCATAGCCACACTGCTGCCAAAATGCTTCTTTTACCACTATGTAATAGAAGCCATAAACAAAACTCTCCTCTGATAAAATATCTCCAATCTAGGGCTGTTCTTCCTTAGTGCCTTTAAATGTACCAGGACAAAGGATGGCACTGAATCAGGGATTGACTGTTGACCTACTCTATACTCAGTAATGCCACAGTTCATGCACAGACCAGAAAAGGCCCGTGTGCATGCATACAGATATTTACCCAGAAATCCAGAGATTCCGGACAAAAATAAAAGTACGCTACTGTACATATACAGTACTGTACAGTATTTGAAGGGAAGGCATTACAGTGGTACCCCGCACTACGAACTCCCCGTAGTACGAACGTTCCACATAACGAACGTTTTTTGGGGGGAAAATCCGTTTTTTTCACCCCCGTAGAACGAACAAATTTCGTACTACGAACAAGGGTGAATGTTCACCCTTATTTGTAGTACGAATTTTNTACAGTGGTACCCCGCACTACGAACTCCCCGTAGTACGAACGTTCCACATAACGAACGTTTTTTGGGGGGAAAATCCGTTTTTTTCACCCCCGTAGAACGAACAAATTTCGTACTACGAACAAGGGTGAATGTTCACCCTTATTTGTAGTACGAATTTTGTACTACGAACAAAGTTTTTTTTTTAATTTTTGGGTTCTGAGACGATTGTCTCAGAACACAGAAATGTTCAACACAGAATTTTTTTTTCAACAGAGAAATTTTCAAATAGTCTCAGAGCACAGGACATTTTAATTCCTTGAAACTTTTTGTAGATTAACAATGTTTAAGCAATTAAAATTAACACAGACACAAAAATCAACACAGAATTTTTTGTAGCATTCAAAATGTAGAGTTAAAAATATTTAAAAAATTTCAAAAAGGAATTTTCATTGCTACAAAAATTTCTGTGTTTTGAGACAATTGTCTGAGAACACAAAAATTCTCATACAATTTCATAGAATTTTATGACGAATTTTTAATGCTGCAAAAATTTCTGTGTTCTAAGACAATTGTCAGAGAACACAGAAATTTCATAAAAATTGTCATTGAAAAAATTCATGTGTTCTGAGACAATTGTCTCAGAACACAGAANTACAATTTCATAGAATTTTATGACAAATTTTTAATGCTGCAAAAATTTCTGTGTTCTAAGACAATTGTCAGAGAACACAGAAATTTCATAAAAATTGTCATTGAAAAAATTCATGTGTTCTGAGACAATTGTCTCAGAACACAGAAATTTTTGCAGCATTAAAAATGTGTCATTGAAAAAATTTCTGTGTTCTGAGACAATTGCCTCAGAACACAGACACTAGCTTTTTGTAGCATTAAAAATTCCTGTTTGAAATTTTTTGAATATTTTCAACTCTAAATTTTGAATGCTCCAAAACTTTCTGTGTTCTCAGACAATTGTCTCAGAACACAGAAATTTTCAAATTTTCTCAGAAGACAGAAAATTTATGTGTTCTGAGATGATTGTCTCAGAACACAGAAATTTTTTAACTGACAAATTTTCTTTGAGGACAGAAACTTTTTTTCAAGAAAAAAATTTGAAAATTTGAAAAAGACAATTTCAAAATTTTCTGTGTTCTGAGACAATTGTCTGAGAACACAGAAATTTTTGTAGCATTCAAAATTTAGAGTTAAAAATATTTAAACAATAAAAAACAGGAATTTTAATGCTACAAAAATGTCTGTGTTCTGAGACAATTGTCTCAGAACACAGAATTTTTTCAATGACACATTTTTAATGCTGCAAAAATTTCTGTGTTCTGAGACAATTTTCTGAGAACACAGTAATTCTCGTACAATTTCATAGAATTTAGGACAAATTTTTAATGCTGCAAAAATTTCTGTGTTCTAAGACAATTGTCAGAGAACACAGAAATTTCATAAAATTTGTCATTGAAAAAATTTATGTGTTATGAGACAATTGTCTCAGAACACAGACACTTTTTGTAGCATTAAAAATTCCTGTTTGAAATTTTCTGAATATTTTCAACTCTAAAGTTTGAATGCTACAAAAATGTCTGTGTTCTCAGACAATTGTCTCAGAACACAGAAATTTTCAAATTTTTTCAGAAGACAGAAAATTTATGTGTTCTGAGACAATTTGAAAATTTCCATTTTCTGAAATGGTTGTCTCAGAACACAGAAATTGTCTCAATGGTTCTGAAACAATTTGAAAATTTCCATGTTCTGAGATGATTGCCTTAGAACACAGACATTGTCTCAGAACACAAAATTTTAATGCTACAAAAATTTCTGCATTGATTTTTGTGTCTGTGTTAATTTTAATTGCTTGAACATTTTAAATCAACAAAAATTTTCAAAGAATTACAATTCTCTGTGTTCTGATTCAATTTGAAAATGTCTGTGCTGAAAAAAAATTCTGTGTTGAACATTTTTGTGTTCTGAGACAATTGTCTCAGAACACAGAAATTTTTTTTAGCATTTTTTGGGATTAAAAATGTATGTGTTCTGAGACAATTGTCCCAGAACAAAGGAATTTTCATAAAATTCATCATTAAAAAAATGTCTGTGTTCTGAGACAACCGTCTCAGAAGTCAGAGCACAGAAATGTTTTAATCAAAACAAATTTCTGTGTTCTGAGGATTGTCTCAGAAAATTTTCCTGGCATTTGTCACTGTGACGACAGTCATTTGACTGTTGTCACACGTGACAAAGATAAAAAAAAACCAAACTGTTTTTTTTTACCAAAAAATTTTCCTTTTTTCATTTTTTTCAGAACGAATTAAACGATTTCCCATACAAGTCTATGGGAAATTGTGTTTCACAGTACGAACGTATCGCACTACGAACGTAGCTCTGGAACCAATTACGTTCGTAGTGCAAGGTACCACTGTATTCATATGCATGGTACAGTATTTACATTTCGCAACACAGCAAAGCATAAGAGACACACTGGAGAATAAAGCTACGAAGCTGCATTATTGCCGCTGAAGAACCGGTTCTTATTATTACTGGTTTCATTGGCTGCTTTCTCAGTGCAACTTGGACAGGATCGAGTTCGGGAGATGAGCGACATCTGTCTGATTCTAGGGCAAGCGTCGGCGTAGCGGTAGTCGTCGGGATTCTTGAGGACGTGCGAGAACTTCTTGTCTGCCACGGGCATGTAGGAATCCGATGGCAACTCCTCCGTGGGATACAGGCTTGAAGGTCGTATTGGATGTCGATCACACCTGAATAGGACGAAAAAAAAAATCAGGAGTTACATTTTCAATTACAAAATATCTCGAAGAAAGATGAAAAGCGATGGATGGAAGCTCGAAACTTCGCAGTCCAATCTCTTTATGTTCAGCACAATCCGTTCCATAGGTTTCTGAGGATCACAAGAATAAATACCGCCGCTTCACATTGAAAAACATATTTCAAGTGAGACAATATCCAACAAGATATATTGTGATCTGAAGGGAAAATTCATTAAAATTTTGGATGCTATTTGACCCTTGGGTGGCCGTGCCAGGATTCATTCAGCAAATTGACACTTGTGGATAGTGGATAGAGGAAAATAAAAAATTAAGATTTAGGATCTGATGCATTCAGCTGGAGTTTGCATAAATCCCTGCCTTTTTAGCAGTGCAGGGGAAACATTTTTGCAAAAAGTGCACTGCAAACATTTTTCTCTCTCTTTGTGGGCTGGGTCCCAGAACCATAGCAGTAGTATAGACAAGAAAAAGTGAAAAACAAAGAAACGAAATGTGTACTGTGTGCCTGGAATTTGCAGCAGCAGCAGTAGTACACATCTGTTTTTAACCCTTGGACGGCAGAGGGTTCATTTCCATTGTGTGGCAAAGTTGGAATATTCTAGGGGGGTGGAGCATTTCTGTTTGACCCAAGGTCACTGAAATACTCCCAGTTTGAGAAGGTCTAAGTCAGGCAAAATCCAGGAGACAAATTCTCCTTTGTTTTCAGGAATCTTCCATGCTGATCCTATGCCAGGAATGCAGGAAAAAAATGCCACCCAGTGAGGGATTTTTTTTCATTTTTCATCCAAAAAACACCCTTAGACGGTGTGGTCTGCTGGATTAGAAACATATGTTGGACTTCTTCCCAACTTAGGCCTATGTACAAAAGTTGCATTTTTTAAATTCCCAGTTTTCAGTGACACAACATTTTTCAAATATATCCCAACTTTGCCACACAAGGGTTAACATGAAGATACATAATCTTTTGCCACATACAAGTATACTTGCACTTGTATTAGTATCGATTGTATTTTCTTTTCTTTCTGTGATCCATTTGTGCTCTGTTTTCTACTCTGAAGTGATTAAATGTCTTTGAGTGGCTTTGGCTTGGGTGGGGAGGGGGTTTGGATGTGGAAATCTCGATTGAACCTTGTGAACGCTGAGAAGTGGCAAATAAAGTGTTCTGTTCATTCATTCATTCACAAGTATACAATAATGATTATCATTATTATTATTATTATTTGTTGCATTAATATGATGAGAGACTATATATATGGATATGTATTCTATTGAAAAAGGGATTACACCCCCAAGAGTGTGTATATACACTACAGTTACGCATTATAAAGCTGCACCGTGCCTGTAAATCTGGTTGATCTTGCTCTGGTCCAGACTCGACAAGTGCAGTCGCTGGCCAATGAGTCGCAGCGGGTAGTCCATCTTGGGCACCAGCGTCGGCACCGTGGGCTCGTCAGAGAAGGCGTGCGGCGGGTAGTGCATGATGCTGCCGTAGTCGTAGTTGAGGTCCGTCATGTGCTGGCGCTGCAGGAAGTTCCGCTCGTATCCGGGCGTGATGTTGTCCCAGTTGACGTGCACGTACCTCATTTTTCAAATAGTTGGAATATACGACGAATCATCATTATTCTTATTATTATCATTATTATTATTATTATTATTATTATTATACCTCGAATTAATCTTAGTCATACCCCTCCATCACTATACGAGTTACAACTTATACAACCGACTTGATCACATCATATCAGGTGTGTACTGCATATCCAATTATAGTCAGGTAAATTTAGTAAGCGCGTTTTTATTTTCATGATTTCGACATTAAAAATTGACAGTAAAATGCACGAGAAAAAGAAAATGACCATCAGGTTCAACCTACTGCTGCATATGATACCATTCTATATTATAATTAAGGAAAGAAGAAGAAAGAAAAGAAGAAGAGCATATGGCCCTCATTTGCACACGTCGTTCCCTCACTTGTCCCTGTCGCGACGACTCTGCTCGTGGTCAAAGCCCAGGACGTGCATGAGTTCGTGCAGGATGGTGCCCCGCTGCGCCACGCACTTGTCGTTGAGCGTGACGGTGTGAATGCCGCCCAGGTAGCCCAGACTCGACGTGCAGGGCTCCGAGTCGCCGGCGACGCGGCGGACAAACACGTAGTCCCTGTCGCGGCCGGGTTCCCGAGGCCGGAACCGGACGCAAGTGCGCTCGTGGTACTGGGCCAGGGCAGACAGGATGTTGCGGCGCTGGGCGGGGCTGAACCCGGGGTCCACCTCGAAGGGCACCACGTTGGAGGGCCATGGGGAGGGCATCTGGTGCTGCTGCTGCTGCATCATCATCTGGGATTCGGAGCTGGACGAGGACAACGACGATGAGGCAAATGAGAAAGAGGAAGAGGATAAGGTGTCCTGTCTCATGGCATTATTATTTGGCATCCCGTTTCGCTGCTGCTGCTGCTGCAGCTGGTCGTCCATGATGACCGCCGCCAGCTGCGTCTCATCAGCATTATTATGGTCGTCGGTCGCCGCCAACTGCTGCTTCTTAGTCTGCTGCTTATCGCGACGACTACGACGACGATGACGCACACCCAGCCACTCGGCAACACTGTTCAAACCTGCACGGCAAAGTACAAAAAAACAAGAAAAAGGGCAGCAATCAGGCATGAAGATTGCAACTAGACTGCATTGCAACTGAATTGATCCTTGTGCAGCAAAGTCAGGATATTTTCCCAAAATTATGGGACCTGACAGCACTGACAATAAAAAAATATTCTTTTGTACCAAGGCATATATGCCAGATAAAAAATCATTTTTTCCTAATCCTGCAGAAAATTGTGCATGGAAAATAAAAAAATCTCTCACTGTGCAGTATTTTCTCTTGAATTTCTAACATAGGATCAAAGATGGCATTGGAGATTCCTCAAAACAATAGAAAATGTTGCTTCCTGCATTTTTCCCAACTCAAGCCTATCCAACATGGGAGCATTTCTGTGTGATCTTTATTCAAGCTGATATGCACCACTGAAAAAATCCAAATTCCACCTTGCATTAATGGGAGAGAACCCTCCACCATCCAAGGTGTGGCGCCGCGTTTTCCGAGATCACGTGACCCGAGCATGCTACACACGCTCGGGCACGTTGACAACAACCGTACACGGGTACGGCGTGGTACGCGCCCGGTATGTCGGAACACCGACTACCGGGTCGGAAGGCGAGGAAAGGAGGAGGAGGGTCGGAAGAGCGTGGCGTGGGCTCCGAAGCCCACAGAAGAAATCGTGAAGCGATTCAGAGTGGACCTCTGTTGTGTTGTTGTCNTACACGGGTACGGCGTGGTACGCGCCCGGTATGTCGGAACACCGACTACCGGGTCGGAAGGCGAGGAAAGGAGGAGGAGGGTCGGAAGAGCGTGGCGTGGGCTCCGAAGCCCACAGAAGAAATCGTGAAGCGATTCAGAGTGGACCTCTGTTGTGTTGTTGTCTGTTTGTCTTGAGCAATTGTTTGTCTTGTCTAAAAGCCTTAAATCTGAAGTGTGTTGTGAGCATATATTAAAGAGAGCAAACTTCTTGGGACTCCCTTCTGGAGGATCCGGCCGGTAAAGGCTGAATCTGCTTTTTATTTTCCATTTCAAACCCTTGTCGATTTCCACCCGACACAAGGGTTAACTGTAATATTAAGAAGTGCAAAAAATTGAGCAGAGAGATGTTTTTCTGCCCCCAAATCCCAAAGCAAGCTTTACTGGTTGCCACCCTTGATCATGGATCCTGCCACCCCCCCCCCTTCCCCCTGCATGCAAATGCTTGCTGGAAGATTCATTTGCTTAAAATTCGGTTTGCCTGATCGTAAAAATGGCCAGGTGGATCTTTGATCCGCATGGTGGATCTTCATCATTAGGTAGTTTCATCTATAGAAGTGTTCCCCAACCTTTTCAGTCCGGCAGACTAACAAATAAGACTGGCAAAGTTTCATGAAATTTTCTGACAACCAGCAAATTTTCATTACATTTTTGCATGCTCAAAGATTTGTTGCTTGAACGACACATTAATAGCAGGTTTTTTAAAAGTTTTTTAAAAATTAATTCATGTTTCAGTGAAGCAGCTTATATTGGAATGTATTTGAAAAATGAAAAGGTGGGCTCGAAAAAAATATTTTCAGACTCAAATATAAAAAAATATTGAACCAGGTAAAAATTTGTTGTGAGTATTATTAGGAGAAATGCCGCGAAATATTTTTTCATGAGATAATTTGAACTGCCTTTGTCTTGCCAAAATTAAAAGTAAAGATACTGTAACATCCTTCATCGCTATATACTTGTGAAAATTTCATTAGCCAAGAGAAATGTCTCATGGACCGGCAAAAAGCTTCTGCAGTCCAGCGCAGGTCTGCGGACCTGACAGTTTTGGGAACACTGTTCTCTAATTAACTATAATATAGAGGGTTGAAAATGTGTTCCCTTCTTTTGCCCCACCCTGTCTGTGACATGCACAGCAGCAAGTACCTCTGCGCAGTCCAACCGCACTGCCACCAAGACCATTATTGACGTCGTCATCATAGTACTCGGCGGCATGGGCATTGTCGCCGCCTTTATCATGAACATCGTTGCCGCCCCTCATCAACGATCCGCCCTTGCTGAAGTCGTCCACCATCAGGACAGAAGCAGCAGCAGAGTCGTTGTCGTCATCATCGTCATCAGACGCCCTGCTGCTGATGCTGATGGCCACAGAAGGTTCTTTGCTCTTCGAAGAGGCCTTTGTGATGCTGTTGGTTTTGGCAGGTGGACTGCCGAAGCGAGACACAAGCTGGGACATGACGACCGACTTCATTCGGCGCACGACGTCAGCCTCACTCTCCTTAATCAGCCCTTGCTCAGGCTGAAAAAAAAAGACATTCTTGTGTACAGTGAGATCCCGGAATGCAGACACCCCAAATTATGAATAATTCAACTCATAGGGGCACTGAGAGAAGTGAAAAATCTGGTCACAACAACTGGACAGTGACTCAAGATATGGGCATTTTTTCCAACATTTTTGTACCTCTTGAGCTATATGTACATTCTCAAATACTGAAAATAAATGTCAGTACAAAATCACCCTGATTTCTAATATTGAAAAGGCTAGTATTCTCCTTACTTTTTATGTTTGTTTTCCATCTTTTGTGCTCAGTAAAGTAAGACTTCTTTTTGTTCTTAGGTTCTTGAGCTCTTCCTGCTGCCAAAACATTACACATTCTGCATGGATTTATTCCATACATTTATTTCATTTGTTTTGATATTGGGAAACAATTATTTTATTCAATTTTTGGGCGGTCTTTATCTCAATTAATGATCTGCACAAAAATCAAAAAGTATTTGTCATTGAAGGCTATGGGAAAACATGGTCTGACATGCAGATGTTCTGACTTATTGGGGACAAGGTCCATGTACCAATTATGTCTGCATCTTGAGGTCCCACTGTACTCATACTTTATATTGTATATGAGGGTTGTCCCAACACTTCGGATTGACCTTGGGTGTTTCTAGACTAGCTGGTACCACTTCGGAAAAAAAAATGCACCATTCAGCTCCTCCTATTGTAAGTTTCTGGGATTTTTTAAGAATTTAAAATTTTTTAAAATATAGTGCAAGACAATAAGTGAAAACTTCCCAGCATTGGCAAGGGTTTAGCATGTTGCAAGCTATTGAAAATCGTAAACGCTAGACAAAAATTGAAATTTGGTTTTTGTTCTTAAAACAATATTTCCCACATGCTCTGTACATTTTTGGGAGTTAGCTGATCCATTTTTTTTATTTGCTGGTCCACAGGCCTAAAAATGTTGGGAACACTGTTCTATATACTGCATACACTCCTGATGTCATCATTCGGTCTATACAATGGTCTTGGTCTATACTGCACATGATGGACAAAAGACACAAAAAGAAAGACATTTCTGGGTCCATTGTAAAGTTCTGGACTGATCATACCAGTTTATCCGGATGGTCATTATCTCGGTGATGGAGTTGGCCCTCATCTTTTCCTGTTTTTCCAACATCAGGAATAGGTCCAACCAGGAGAGTGCGGATGTCCGCGTCCAAGTCGTGGGCCAGCTGCGTGCTTTTCTGTTGGAGAAATGAAAAAGGAACACACACACACACACATATAAAAGGAAGAGAAGAACCAATGCAGCCAAGCACTGCTGGGTTCAGAATCAGAAACTGTCCAAGTGAAGGTTTATCATGTCACCAGACCTTAAGCAGAAGAGGATCACATGCAATTAATGAAGAAAGAGTTGAAAAAATTTGTTGGTGAGGAAGGATGCTGGCTTTTCTCTTTTTTCTTCCAGCAAACACCCTTTTTAGAAGATCAAGTGATGCTTGAGTACTTCAGTATTGCTCTGTCAGTAACACTCGTAAAATTAGCCTTTTTTTCAAGTGTTGATCAAAAACAATTCAGTGAAATCACCTTACAACAAACTTCTGGGTACTCCAGAAGAAGTTTGTCATGAGAAATAATTTATTATGACATTTTTTAAATTTTTGAATGATTGGAAGATTTTCTAAACATCTGTTTTAAACCTTTTCAGCTGTTTTGGCATTCGAAAAACTACATTTTTCAAAAAGAAGTTTAATTTTTAGTTGCAAACAGTTATTCTGAATAACTGGTCTAAAATTCTCAAACATACAAACCACAAAACTTTTTTGGCTTGAGTTTTTTTGGATTCATATTTTTTTCCTTCCCCCCTTCAAAGTCCTATATTTCCACCAAGACTTTGAAAAAAGTTTGTTATACTGAACATTTTGTTGGAACCATATTTGTTGTGAAAAGATTTACTGAACATCAATGTCACTTGCATGTTTTTTCAACTCTTTGATGAAATGGCTATGGTACATAAAGTATGGTACATACTTTTTTTTGGCCAAGTCTGGAATGTGCCTGAAAACACCTACCAAGAGACGACAATAAGATCCATTCGAAAACTTACAGTAAGATCACTTTGTGTTGGAGACATTTTCTTTGTGGTTTTAACCCTTGGATGGCAGAGGGTTCTTTCCCATAATGGGACAGAGTCCAATTATTTTTGTATCCTCCTGCATTTTCATAATTTCTAAAGGTCAGGAAAACCCTTACAGGTGGGATGAGGCAAAGTCAGGATAAATCTGAAAAAAGCCCTTAGACTGAGCTTTTCTTTTAATTTTCCTGCAAAAGTTGTCTGTCCCAGGGAAAATAACACCAGGACTTTTCCCAACTTTGCCCTTAACCCCCTGTTGACATTTTTTTCTTCACCTCTCTGAGGTGCAACGAAATTTCACGAAAAAAAGTCCTAATTTGCCACCCAAAGGTTAACGAGAATAATTGCTTTGAGCCTATTGCTGGTATACTTGTATCATAGTCCTCAGGTCGGCCAACCGGTTGCCCAAACCCTGCATGGAATCACTCCGCCGACGTTGTCGTCGTCGCCGCTTGTGGCGGACGGATCGACTCTCGTCGTCGTCATGGCGCAACTTCGCATCCTCATCATGATCGCAAAACCCGTCGAAACTCCGCTTCTTCCTGGTCATCATGACAACGAGTCTAAGGTCATTTCCGATGCCCGCGTGCACCGCCAAGAATTTGTCGATTAACGCCTAATTAAACGTGCTTAATTACCGGGGATTTCCGTTTCTATCGCTTCCTCATTTGCTGCTGGCCCCCGCCTGATTGCTAATAAGGTGGTCGCGGTGCATATACGGGGAAGATGATGATGCAGTAATTCAAGTGCGACTTGTGTTTTTTTTTCCTGAGGTTCAATAATCAATCAATCGGCTAGAGAAGCGGCTGACGAAGATGTAAGTTTCGACCGACCGCATCGTCACTCATCAGGCCCGCGACTTTCAACAGCTTTCCTTTTGTTCCTGGTTTTTTATTTATTTATTTTTTATTCTTCTCCAAGTGTATCGATGAGACAGTAATGAGAAGAGAAAGCGTTCGTCTCTCGTGAAGCATTGTGTTGGGGGAAATCGCCGCGTCTCGATGGGATCCATGTGCCAGGCAGTGATCGCCGACCGATGGCACGGATTCCCATCCAATCGGGCTACTTAAGCTGAGTCCCCATCACGTGACCTGCTGCTGCTATATAGTTATTCTGGATGAGCAGGAGTCCTCCTTGTAGTGTTTTTTTCTTTTCTTTTCGATTTTGTTTTTTCAGTTGTGCTGTGAATAAGACGTTATTTCTTGACTATATATTGAGTTAGAGGACGTTATTTGGTTTTTCCTTTTCAGGTTATATTTTTTTTGGAAAGACGGTAACCCTGTAAGGATAAAATGAGCATGTTGAGGACTGCGTTTGCAACACTCATGTTGGCGATGGTTGCCAAAGCCGCACCGTCCGTCAGCATCAGGAATGATAGTGAGTTCAAGGAATGGATTGAATAACAATGGGCATTTTCCCCTGAAGCACAATATTTGTTTAGTTGAATGAATGAACAGAACACTTTATTTGCTGCTTTTCAGTGTTCACAAGGTTTCAATCAAGATTTCCACATCCAAACCACATGTTTAGTTGTTATGTTCATTTGAGTATCATATACACGCCCTCAAGTGAGACAGGCTCTGGATTTCTTCAGTTGAAAATTTTGATGAAATCCCATCAGTCTGTAGGATAAGTCATGCATCTCATTTTTAGTCACTTGTAAAACCACAGAATTTCGAATAAAAGAGCACCTGCATTGGAATTTTGAAATGAATTTAGCATGGCTTCAAATGACTTTCTATTATTTCAATCAATTGAAAGAAGCTTCTTTTCTGCTCAACTCAATTCAGAATGTCCCATCAGAATCAAATTTACTGCTTACCTGAAGCTCTAAAACTTTTTGAATGATTTAAATCCAAGTTTGGCATGCACCACCACACCTTTTTTTCGTTCAACTTGAAGAAAAAGGTGAATGTGTACAGTAAAAGGTATGTGTGTACAGTGAAACATGGTTTATGTGAAGTTTTTACATTTTCCATGTTTTTAATAAGTTTTTCCATGATTTTTGCCACACTCAATCCTGCAGGTTTGTTGGTGATGAATTCCACTGAACAACCAGATGTGACCAGTGTTCTGTCCATTGCTGAGGTGAGTGAAAGACAAAATACACTTGTTGATCAGCGTTTTATGCAATTTCATATGGCATATACTGTATCTCTCGTCAGTGTATGGGGTTCAGTATCCATGCTGTCCTCCAGCATCCATGTTACCAGAATTGGAAACTCAACTTAAACGTGCTTTAAACTGTGATACTTTCAACTGTAACTGCTTCTGCACACAGCATTTAGGATGTTGATGATCAAACAACAGTTTGAGCAGAGTCAAAAATACCTGTGCTGCAAATTATTGCTAGAGTCTACAAATTATACAGGATACCTTCTTAATGCACTCAGTTTGGTTGAAACCCATCTAATTTTGAAAAGGGTGGTCAGCATCAGTGTGAACATGACTTGATAATATTTACACGAATATTGAACATTTGAATGATGAATGTGTGTTGAAATAGGGAAATGTACATTTATTTAAATGACATCAGATCATTCCCATGATCAACTTTCTTACTTTGGCATCTCGTTCTTACCTGACGTGATTATTTCTTACGCGGCCACTCCTTCTCCTCGTCATTTTTATATACTGAATCTCCTTTTCAGTTGTGGTGTGCTTTTGCTGGATTAACTGTGCTTGACGAATTTCAAAGTTATTGGACTGATCCTATGACTTACGTCTTTTCAAATACTGTAGCTTTACTTTTTCACAAGTGTCTGATGCTGTCTGTCTGATTTCTGGGCGGGACTTGAGACATCATGATCCTCAATTTCCGTTATACCCTATCAAATGTACACTGAGAACAGTACATTTAGAAGGGTACCACTTCTGAAAACAATTAAATTAATTTTATTAAATCTTGTTTGAAATACTGTAATGGAATCCATCAGTTGAGGTAATTATTGTTTCAGGAGGCAATTAATGTTTCAGGCTACGGACTTAACAATTTACAGACAAGTTTGTGGAACAAATCAGGCACTGGGTTTCAAATACGGTACCTGACATACAGTTTTGTACAGTTGTGTCCTGGTTTATGGACTTAATTTGTTCCACAAACTTGTCTGAAAATTTTCAAGTCCGTAACCTGAAACAATTAATTGCCGTAGACAGCTATCTGACGAATTTCAATTTATTCCAGATTTTCAAATGTGGAAAATTCAAATCCTGTTTGTCAATTTGAAGTATTTTCAAGGTTTAAAATATGGGAAGTATAGTGAACTTCATGGCGCTTTCAATGCAGTTAAAAATTTGCCTTTCAGTGCATAGGTACCTTTTTGGAAAATTTCAACATTTAAAAAATGGGGAAGAAAAATGGAAACAAAAGAATTCAAACTTCTAACTTTAGCTGATTCTGATTTTTTTCTTTTGATGAAACTTTAAATTTATTTACAGGATGTCAGACACAGACATGTTTTACAAGTTTTTTTTTCATTGACAAATGTTTCAAATTCAAAAAGTAAAAACATTCTTTTCGATATTTTTCTAAAATTTTGAAAAGTGTTTTTACATTTTTGGTTGTAAAATTTTTAGCTTATTGCATGTTCAAACAAGGAAATTTAGAAAACATCTTCGCACAGGCAAAGCTGTAACAAATTTGAAAATTTGTTGAAAATTTAATTTTTGATGAATTTCCAAAGATATAGAATTGGACTGCGGTCCACAGACCGATTTACAGTCCATAAACTGGAGCTCTCTGCCTAAAACGGAGCTGGTCCATGACCCAGAAATCCATAACCTGGGATATCCGTAAACCGGGGCACAACTGTACTGGAAGGAATGAATATTATTTTATACATACTTTTTAGCAAGAGTGATCCAACCTGTTTCGAGGCGATTTCATCCTTTCTTCCTGGTGGATGAACTAAAATATTCTGGCGCCCTTTTCTTAGAACACGCGGGAGGCAATTTTTGCCGAAGCACACTCAACGGTCTCATCCGACAATGGTCCACGAAAGTGTATTTCCCAGCGAAATTTTTTAAAAGTGGCATTGAAACTTCTTTAATTAATGCAAATCCAGTATGAAGATGAGGATGGTTGAAAAGGTGAACGCTTTTCTGGTGGCATTTAAAATGGTTTGAATTCAGAACTTATTCACTTTGACATTCTGCGAGAAGGTAGTCAACGTTACTTGATCCTGGAATAAAAAGGCATACTTGGCGTGAGCAGACAGTTTTCTTCGGAATGTACTTCTGCGGAAAAAAAAATTATGAAAGAGTATGTACGTAATTTATTGCAGCCTTTTCATTCGGTAATTTGTTCCATCTATGATTTGGTATTTTCTCCTCTTCCTTCGATATGACCAGCAGGCACTGTGAATTCAATAATAGTATTTTTGCGCGCGTTTCAAGTGAAATAAAAATAGATGACTGGCGTCCAATCAAGTACCTGATGTTTTATTGATGGTAGCATGAAGATTCGAGTTTCGATCGGTTTGTGCGATATGAGAATCATCGAGTGATACTTTCCGCTTGTTTGTCGATCGAGGTTCGAATAGGAATCGAGCCAAAACCATTGTATTGTACTCTATTTGTGATCGTCTCATTCGCTTGTGCGACGCAATGACTAAAATAACGGATGCCTCTCCATGTTGACTCCTTTATCATTTTTATTATATCATTTAGAAACCATTGGATGTTTCCGGGGAACTACTTCCACCAACCATTCCCGAAGACGAAGTGAGTTCGGTTTATATTTATAATTTAATCCTTGTTCATTTGAAGCGAACGCATGCTTTTACATAACCTTTCAATGTGTCCGGCCTACATCAACAGGACGAGGAAATGGAAAAGTTGAATGATGATAGCATCAAGAGCAATGACGATGAAGACGACCAGGAAGACAAAGAAGAGGAGAAGCAGATCATGGATGTAAGATAATACAGTACTGTGCAACGAAACTCCTTCAACACGCCCCCAAAAAAGCTGCCACCCTTCGTAACATATTATTATTTTGTTCAACAGTTCTTCCCTCCTGATGAAAGCATTGAAAAACCACATTAAAATTGCATCCACCAATTGATTCATAATCCAACTTAAACTGAATTCATACTTCTTTTCCACAGTTTTTCCCCATTCCACATAGGAATTTGCTTATTCCTTGCTTTTGGACTTTCTTCACCTGCCTAAAGATCAGATTCCGGATGACTTTCTTGTGCGCAGTTGATCTCAGTATCTAAAAGTTGAGGGAACATTTCTATACACTTTTTTTGGATGCTTCATTCCTAATTTTTGATGAACAGAAGAACAAATTAAATATGTTCCCATTGACTTCTATGTGAAAATGAAATGTGATCCTACATGTGGACCTAACGGCATAGGGACACAGTCCAAGCAAAAATTACATCTGCCACTTGGGGTTCACTGTACTTTATCTGAAAAAATTTGATCAAGCTTCCATACACATATGCCCCAGCTGAATCAAACACCATATAAGCTGGAAGATCTACTTCCAAAATTCCCTGCTGGTGATGCACAAAAGCTGTACATGAATGATTTACATTGTAAAAAATATTGAATGGATCCTCAAAATAGAGTGGGGATATACTTCAAGTGTTAATGTGAAAAGCAACAATGCTTACCTCATCTGATTAGTGCAGTTCCAATTTTTATCTCTTGAGGGCATGGGGTGGATTTGGGATATGGACAAATCAAGGCAGATAATTCCAGACAGTAAAAATCCAGACTGAAGATTTTAGCCAGAGATATTGCAAGAGGCACAAGGACAATGCGAGACAGTACTGAAGCAACTTTAACCACACAATGTTTTCTTTTACACTCAACTTTCTAGTTTTCCCGCCCATGTAAACTCTGCACATAACCTTTTTTTACCCTTCAATTCTTGCACTTGAAAGAATCCAGGTTTCCCAACATTCTTTTCAAAAACACAAAAGTAATAAGGGCTTTTTTTAATCAATAAAGCCATATTAATTGTTTTCTGTTTTGAGTCAAGGTCAACATTTCAGAAGAATCATAGGTACTGCATTACTTCAATTCTTTTTCCAAGTATTGTCCTAATTATTTGCTTTATAAGAAGTAAAATTGACCTAATTTTACAAACCAGTAAAAAAAATTCTGCTTTTTGCACCTTCAATGTAAAATATTGGGGAGATGAAACACAGAAATGTAACTTTAAAAGTTCCACTATCTCAAATAGTCGCTGTCACAGAATGACTCAAAGTCTCCCACATCATCTTTAAAATGTATCTGTCTCAAATTGTTCCTGTCTCAAAAACCTTCTTTGCATTGGATTTTCCCTACCTCAAATTTCTCTAGCAATTTGTCCCAGATCCAGTTAATTTAGAGTATGTTACTTCTGATGCTGAAGTTTCGGGCTTGCTTTTGCCAAATTGCAACTCCTTTATTGCAACCCACAGAGAGTCCGTGCGGAAATCGGCGGGGACGTGGATGAAGACTCCCTCAGGACAGTGATGCACTTTCTGGACGAGATGGACGACCAAGAGGACGAGCTGAAGCAAATGGACGATGATGACAATGAAAAGAACGACGATGATGAGACGTTTCTGAATGAGATCCCGAATCCGGATCGGACCAGCAGAATGAACCCCTCGTCGTCATTGATGGGCCACAGTCACGTGATCGCCGTGGAACCCGGCCAGACGCCGACGAGGTTCGACATTCTGCGGGCTGAGGTGCTGGCCCACGGGGCCCGGGCCCCGACACGGGTGTTGCATCACATGCCCAGGTCCATGAAGCTCTTGGGGCATGATGTCCCCAGCAGGAACTGGCATCCAAGTCGTGTTGATGCCAATGATGATGATGATAATGGTGGTCATCATTGATGAGATGTGTATGCAGTATACTATACAAGGGTTTGACGTTGCCCATGTCATCCATAATAAGGAACTCAAAATCTGTCAGCTCTGTCATTTTCGCGATTTCATTAATAAAGCTGATATATCCATACAAGTACTGTATAATGCTGTGTTGTGCGTACAGTGAGGCCCCCAAATGTGGAAACCTCAACATGTGGACAGTTTGACATGGGGATACTTATTTTCCCATAACAAAATAATAGAAAAGGCCTGACATGAGGACACTGAATTGACAGAGGAACATTTTGGGATACAATTTCAAATATGTTTCAGGCCAAATTACAAGAAACATTCATTTCTAACCCTAGACTTGATGCAAGAAAAGTTCTTGGGCATTTCTCTCACCAATTTACTATCCGTTTAGCTCATTAAAAAAAATTACCTCTAGCAGAGACAGACATCCTTCACTCTTTTCAACTACCTGAATATTATTTTTACAGAGAATGTCAACATCTCTATGTACTCTACAGAGGTATCAGTAATCAATTCCCCAAATGTCCATTATGTGTTGAAATATATTGATTGAATCAGTTTCAATTGGGAGACAATTTTTATTTTCATGAAACTATAGTGAGTATTTTGTACAAAAAATTAAAATGTAAACAGTATAATTCAAGTTGAAGGAAAAATGAAACTGGACTTATGGACACTCTTGATGCACCAATCAAGTCCATATCTCTGGGTCTCACTGTAAGTAAATTGATATTACGTGCAGGTATATTTTTTGATGCTGAAATTGAGCAGCTAGAATACTGCAGGCTGACATTGTTCAATGATGTACCATCCTCTGCATTATAAATAAAGTATGTGTGTCCCTGCTTCACAATAATTGAGCAACAATAAGCCAATTTCATAGCAGATAATGTGAGCGGCAGGTTATGTTCATGTAACCATGAATGATGCTTATTTACACAATACTGGTTTGAGTAATTCATCGTCATCTCCACAAATTCATCTCATCACTTATCACATTAGCATTTCTTGCAGCAGGTAAATGTTCTGTGCAGCATTATTTTCAGGAATCTCTACATGACCAATCAAACAAGTACTCCAATAAGTATAGTGAGACCGCAGGATGCAGACATAATTGGTGTATTTATAAAATGAGAAAAAATTCTGCTGATTGAAAATCATTCAATCAGTGCTTTTCAACTCATGAATCACTTACGCATTTGGAGCATTGAGGACATAAAACATTCACACAATACACAATTTCTTTGTTTCTGCTGAATGTCAAGATCAATAAATTCAGCAACTGTCCTCTTCTCTTCCTTTCTTCTCCAGATTGCGCATCTTTATGATTTCATTTTTTAGTTCCACAGGTTGAGGTGTCTGCATGTGGGGATCTCACTGTAGCTTTAGGTTGTGGATATATACTTTTTTGTTTCCAAGATTTGTAGAATATGTGACCTTTATTCTTTGCTGAGAAATGAATCTTTCAGTCACATTCTCATCCACCCACATTGCAAAGAATTAAGCCCCGGATATCAGGTCAAATGTAATAATGGTTGACCCTGGTAGTGAATACATACAGCAAGTAGATCACAGTGTTGATAAATGTATTCTTCTTCTTGAATTCAACAAAAAGTAAAAAATACAAGAAGACACCAGGGCCTAGTGGCATTCCTCATGAACATTGGAAGGACTTCATACAATGTCCCTCAAGATTAAAATGGTTCACAGAACACATAAACAAAATTTTTGATTTTTGATCTCTTAAAATATATACATTCTCATCCACCCACATTGCAAAGAATTAAGCCGCGGATATCAGGTCAAATGTAATAATGGTTGACCCTGGTATTGAATACATACAGCAAGTAGATCACAGTGTTGATAAATGTATTCTTCTTCTTGAATTCAATGAAAAGCGAAAAATACAAGAAGACACCAGGGCCTAGTGGCATTCCTTATGAACATTGGAAGGACTTCATACAATGTCCCTCAAGATTGAAATGGTTCACAGAACACATAAACAAAATTTTTGATGGCAAAGAACCCTGCCCATTAGGATGGAACAACAGATTCATCTCAGTCTTATATAAAAATAAAGGCAAAACATCAGATGCAAATTCATACAGGGAATTAGTTTGCTAGAAACATCTCTTAAAATATATGAAGAATTACTGGCTGACAGGCTGTTACAATGGTCTGAAGACAAACATTTATTTCCTGATGTCCAAGCTGGATTTTGCAAAGCAAGATCAACAATTGACAATGTCTTCATCATGGAACTGATCTGTTGAACTAAAATTAAAAGGAGGGAATAATTATAGCATTGCTTGACCTTGCTAAAGCTTTCCCATCTGTTGACAGGCAAATTTTATTTTGCAAACTATCACTTTTAGGGGTATCCTTGAAATTCTTGAAAGGACTTGCAAGTTTGTATGATGAAACTGAGTTCCAAGTTATTACTGGTAACAAGAAAGCCTCAGTCTTCACAGCAAATCATGGATTATAAGAGGGTTCCTGCTTATCACCATTATTGTTTTTATTCTTTGTAAGTGATCTACCCAAATTTATTATGGTTGGCTCAGGAGCTACAGTAAAATCTCGTTACAACAAACTTTTGGGGACTGCAGAAAAAGTTTGTTATAACGGATAATTTGTTGTAACGAGATTATGGAAATAAATGCCTGGAAAATTTTTTTCAGCTCAGTTCTGCATATTTTCAGAATCAGGCTTGTTTTCAGTTTAAGAACTCAAATTATTCTTTGAAAAAATCAGTGATTTTCTCCTGAACAAAATTCTTGTTCACTGCTGTTGGGATGTATGATGCCCAGATCCAGAGGCTGAAGAATTG